CCTGGGGAGAGCGGTGAGCAGGCAGGGTGGTGACGGGCTGACGGCTGGACTTGATGATCTTAGAGGTCTTTTCCCACCTGAATGACTCTGTGACTGGAGCCAGCGCCTCTCGCTCCACGTTATGTCCCCACAGCTGAACACGCAAGGCCATGCAGGGCAACGACAAAAGAGGGGGTCTCTGGAGAAGAGAAAGCACGCGTTTGAACGACTGCGTAATCCTTTGTGACATGCCAGCACTCCGCACAGGGCAGGGGCCAAGGGCTGGGCCTCGAAATACTTCACAGAACCCCACAGCTACACGAAAACAGTGACCGATGTACCGTGACACACCTGTTCTTCAGAGGGGTAACAGCTCTGAAACAATTAAGAACACTACGGCCAAAAAACCACGTGTAGCAAACATCATCCTGAGGGGGTTTGCAGAATGGAATTAGATTAATTTCACACTGCAGTTTTTCAAAGGTGTCTAGGGATGACAGGTGAACAGCAAAAGTTTCGTATTCTTACTCATGCACAGTCCTTAGACACACTTGGAACTATCCTAAAAATGCTCAAAAAGTAAACGGCATACCCTCAACTCTTCCAGCTGTTTGGTCCAGTGCGGCGAAATCCTGCATAAAGCTGCCAGGCCGTGTTACGACAAACAGCAGCATGTAGGGGGAACGTTTTATTTCATGAAAAACTATGTATTCTTAAAACATGTTATTTTATACGAATTGCAAACTGGTGCAAAAAGCAAAAGGCTAAAACTTTCATGAGAGTGAAAAACAAGTGAAAAACAGGAGACCAATTAATCGCATGCTGCTCCAGAGCACGTCTAATCTATAAAGGCATGACTAAATCTTCATATAAATGCTTACACATAACAAAAATGAACAGGACATGCTGCCCCTCTGGGGGTATGCTGCTTGCCCTGTGCCGAAAGAGGAGCGTGGGCACAGCTCTCCCCTCCCCTCCGACCCCAACTGCCCAGAGACCACCACCTATTTAACTGCGGGGAGGGGACAGGGTGACAAAAATCGCCTGTTACAGGAGTTACCATCCTTTCTCTGCAGCCTCCTGGTTTATAACCCGAACCAGATGTGCTGCACATTTTCTACTTGTTACTCCTGTGTTAGCAGTACACAAAGTACAGTATGTGCATAACTACTCATGTTGTTTTAAGTTTGGCATATTGGAATATCGAGTCCTTTTTAAGGAATCATTTATACTTCAGGGAACTAATACTTTTAGCTAAAAGCAGCATGCTCTTCACTTATAGTTACATTTGAGCCTCTGCTTAAAGATTACTGTAATTCATGGATATGAAAGGAAGACGACTAAGACAGCATGACAAATAAAAAAGAGTGGAATAACCATGAGGTAGTTGGTGAGTAAAATTAAGATCAACAGGTAGGCAAGGGAGGGAGGCTTCAGCTTCGGTTTCAAGGGCTGGCAGTGTGACAACCATTGCAAATTACAGGCAGGTTAATGCAAGATTGTTTAAGGAAACTGGCGATTACACAGGTAAGCAATCTGGCTGTTAGGTCAACAAATCCCTTCCAATGAGGAAGAAAAAGAGATGACAGAAAGGCACAGTGAGAGGGACGTTGATGGGTCACGTTGAGAGTCTTGGCCCAAAGTTAAAGATAGTAAGGCCTAAACAATTTCTGTTAAGAAAAAGCCGATCAAGCTCTACAAAAACACAGATGGTAGATAGAGGAGGGTAGATTCAGTGAAAGAAGTAACTTGGATTCTTCCCTAGACACGAGGACTTCGCCCATGCATTTTACCAATTACTCTGTTATGTAAAGCGCATTTAAAAGTATATCCTTGGACATAATTGCTGCTTTATAGCAGCACTGCCCGATTTCAGCTTAGAAGTTCTGGTGCTGCTTCCATGACTCCTGGAAAATAATATTCCATCTGTACTCCATTATAATGCAGCAGTATTTTTAGATTCAGCACTGTTTTGGTTTCGGCTGCCGCCGGCAACAAAAGTGCCACGCGGCCGCC